GAATCGGCGGCAGGGTAAAAATTAATAGGGCAACATTATTGATGGTTCATAGACGTCGAAAAGCGTTGAAAGAAACCAAAATGGTGACAGGAGGGCGAAACAGCCGATTGGACGATGCTTTGGAACGAATGTGAACGGCTTTTTTCGTTTTTACTGATAAACAGTCGCCCGAGCGCAATTGGAGACACGACGAGAGCGGAGAGAGAGAGTCGTGAGCTGAAGCGAGCGCCTGACGATGGCGGGGTGGGCCAGCCGCACTGACAGCTGAGTACGGCGGGCCGACCTACCTCGCAGGGGCTTTCGACCGGCTCGGAAGCAACCTCAGAGGGGAGACCTCGGCACCCCTAGAAGCGCCAACCGCAACAAATGCACTTCAATGCGCGTAGAAATGGACATAAAAAGTGACATATTGGTGACGCTTTTAATGCGCATTATACAGCATTAAATGCGCATTTAATGGGCAGTTACTGCACACTATGCGCATTTAATGCGTCACCAAAGTGTCACCTTTTTGGTGCGTTTCTATGCGCACTGAAGCGCATTTAATGCAGTGGTGCTTTTGGGGACGCGGCAGAAAGTAGTCAACACTGCCAACACAGACCCACCGGGCAAAGAAACTAAGGAGGGGAAAAAAGGATTCACCACAGAGACTGAAGGACTTAAGTGATCACGAGAACAAGGGTCAGAGTAGAATGTTGCACCTTTCACTCTCAAGGCCGTTTCAATTCATCAAAGCAGGGGGTGGCGGACGTCACCACAGCCCCCCCCCTCCCCGGCAGCGCAAAGTAACACATTTTAGGTACATTTAATGTGCATTGCTGCATTAAATGCGCACTTAATGCGCGTAATGCACATTAAGCGCGTAAAACATGCATTGCCTTGTTTGCGCATTTTAATGCGCATTGCCGCATTTAATGCGCATTTAAGTGCATTGGCGCTACTAGGGCCACGGCCTGGCGATCATGGGTGTGTCCGAATTCTCCATCGGAACGTTCCCTTTGGGTCCGAATGACGACGGAGAGGGGCCCGGCAGCAGCGCAAGCAGCCCTTGCTAAAGAACGTCGGTGGTTCGCGGTCCTTCGCGGGGCGTCGCGAACCACGAAAGGCGCACGTCCTCGCAGTAGGTCGGTCGCGGCTCGTGCGTGACGACCCCCCCAGTAGCGCCAATGCGCATTAATGCGCATTCAATGCGGTAATGCGCATTAAAATGCGCTTAAAAGGTCACACACTCCTGGCGCATTTAATGCGCGTAATGCGCACTAAATGTGCGTTCAATGCACTAATGCGCTTTAAATGCGCCATTAGTGTGTGACCTTTTATGCGCGTTTCAATGCGCATTGGCAATGCAGCGCTACGGGGGCCCCGCGAAGGACCGCGAACAACTGACGTCCTTTCGCGAGGGTTGGTCGTGGGTTGCCCGTCGCCCGCCCTACTGCCGGCCCCCTCTCCGTCGCCATTCGGACCTAAAGGGAACGTTTCGATTGAGAATTCGGACACACCCCATATCTCAAGCTGCTCATACCACACGCGCGCCGTCGCCTCACCGCCCTGCACGTGGCTCGCCTCCAACCCTCGCTGCATCTGGAAAGGAAGAAGAAAAGCAGTACGCAACAGCAACTCGGGCTAGCACACATCCCATCATAACCTTGTTTAGCAGTGCGCATATCCTTATCTATACATCAAAAGCATACAGCGCATTTATTTCTTTCGATGCTCTCAATCACTCTCAAAGAAGAACGTTTGAAACGCCTGTCAGCCCTTCCTTTGTTATAGTGACAAGCACAATACTTTTCTCCTGGAGAGCAAAGCTCGCTCACCTGGGGGATATAATTATTGATCTACAATATCCTTCAACTTAATGAAAAAGGGAACAGGTGTCCACTGTTAGTATCGAGGCAGTTTATTTTTGTGTTATTTAAATTACTGTACCCGGTGTGGATCTGGTGTCAGCGCTGGCCTCCCCCGGACAGTCGCGCTTGCAGTTTCTACTGATCGAGAATGGCAACAGCATGAAGAGGACGGAGACGTTCCCCCAGCTACAGGCGCTGCTCGGCGCGCTGCCCGCGGTGCCGTCCAGGTGGACGCGGCGCCGGACGGGCTCATCTGGGCGTCACCCCCAACTCGGCCCCCGCCCTGAGAATCATCTCGCTTCAGTTGAAGATCAGGTGCATGCACTACTGGCTGCACTGCGGAAGAGGTGGCGGGAGGCGGCCGATTGCCTCCTACTACCTCCACCGCTCCTCCGCTCCTGCACGCCAGTGTGTAGGCAACCCATCGAGCTGCCGCGTATTCTCCCGGACACCCGGTACGATGTGTTGCCTACCTCCCAGGCGCGGGACCACTACCGGTCCGTCCGGGTGCCTGGGCTTTAACGCGTGTCGTCCCCTCAGACGAGATCCCTAGGTCCCCACCCCTTCGACCCGGGTGGATGCGGGTCCGGGTTTTGTGAGCCCTACCCCCGTAGCGCCGCTTTTCCAATGCGCATTAAAATGCGCAAAAAAGGTTACACATTCCTGGCGCATTTAATGCGCATTAGTGCATTGAATGCACATTTAGTGCGCATTACGCGCATTAAATGCGCAAGGAATGCGTAACCTTTTATGCGCATTTTAATGCGCATTACCGCATTAAATGCGCATTAATGCGCATTGGCGCTTCTGGGGCTAGTCGGCGTGCTCCAGTCCAGCCAGAGCTATCCAGCTAGCTCTCCTACCCCCTCTTCCACCTGCATCTGCAGTTGCTCTGTTACCGCAAAGAACGCAAATTTTATTGTGTTCCGCGTTACTGAGTTTAAATTTTATGCCGATCGACAACTTGTTTCGTCTGGCAGCCTCCGCATACCCCCCCCCCCCTTCCCCTTACCCGTTTTCTTCCTCATCCCTCCGCTTCCCCAGCCGAGACTCAGCTGAAACTGATTCAAGTTCAACATATTGTTTCGAATGTAGTGGTGTAGAAGGCTGTCAAGACTGACAATCCTTCAAGCATAGCCGGACAGCATAAAGTTTAAGCGCAGAGTGTACGAAACTTCTGGTGAGTATTGTTTGTCCGCAAGTAAAAAATGATGACGATGTGCGACCATTGACTGAAAGGTTATGGGTTTGTTTACCTTTCACCGGCGGTTACTGAATCAATTGAATGCTGTCTCGGTCGATGATTCGGATCGGCTACGCTTTTTCTAGGTGCCTATGCTATTCCAGATGCATTTTTGGCAAGTTTGAATGTAAGCGGATTTTATAGCATCAGTATCAGACCCTCTTCTCCTATTTCTGACTAGCCGCTCCAGTTGAATTTCATGTGGGAACCTACTTTTCCATACAAAATCCCTTTATAATCTTCTTTGTCACTTCAGGAATAGGTCTCTTTCTTGGCAAATATAACATTTAATTTTTGGGGTCTGTAGAAAGACATTCATTCATTCATCCAAAACATTTCCAAGTTTATGGTTCTAAATTTACTTGCATATTTACAATTAATTAACCTGATTCTGCATTTAGGAAGTTAAGGTAATATTAGTTGTTTAATACAATAAAGCATTCTGGTCATGCTAAAATGCAGAAGAATGTGAGGAACAAGAAAACAGAAGTTACCATGTTAAAGCATAGCGATTTCTGCTTTCTCCTTCCCCGCATTCTTCTGCATTTCAGCTTTACCGGAATGCTTTATTTAAATCACAGTTCTGTTATCCTTGCCATGACCAGTCATCATAATTTCTGCTTGTGTTGAAAATCTGAGGGCTTCTGGCGCAGAAGAGTCAAAAATTATTTGCTGGAAATTATTTTGATTGTTCGTTAAAATGCATATGAATAAAACATACATTTTATTTTGGGAAAACAAAGAGCTGTGCCCACTTCCTTACTTCTTTCTACTATTGGTTCATGTTCAATAAAAAATGACCCAAAGAGTTCCATACCAGATGAGTACCTTGAATTTGGGAGATTTAAGAAATTATTTCCTTCCTGCCGCCAACTTCTGTTATCTTTCTTATCTATTTAGTAGCTTTTAACTCCTTAATTACTCACAGCTAATGTCCTGTCCTTCCTTTTCCAGCAGCAGCAACAGGTCCGCCTTCGCCGTCATGGAGTGCTACATCTGCGACATATGCATCGAGCAGTTTGACGTCGGCGAGCGGCTGCCCAAAGTGTTGGCGTGCGGGCACACGCTGTGCCTCACGTGCGTGCGGCGGCTGCCCGACAGGAGGTGCCCGACGTGCCGCAGGGTGATAGTGCTCTCCATCACATGCCGCTCTATGTCCTCCTGCGGAGCTTTTCCGTCTCATCCCGAATCTTTCCCTGTAGGAGTTCGACAGCCCGCCGGAGGCGCTTCCCAACACCTTCGCCCTGCTCCCGTTCCTGCAAGGGCCGAGGCTGGACAGGTGAGAGTTGCCAAGGGCGGCCCCGGCGGAGGGCGCGGTAAGCCCGAGCCTAACTATTGCCTTTGCTGCGCAGGGCTCCCGCTGCCCGACCCCGCTGCTGGTGCTCGGATTGTCGTGCCGCAGACTCGCCGCAGTGCTGGGACGCCGGGCACGAAGTTCAGCCCGCCGAGAGAGCTCTCAGGCGCCGCCTGCAGGGGGTGGGCGCGCAGGTGGTCGGCCTGCTCGAGGCCCTCCGGGCCCAGTGCCAGGACGAGCAGGCGGTGCAGGCCCTCACCCTCCTCGACGCCGAGTCCTGGGACCTGACTTTGCGGAGTGAAGAGCGACTGCTGCGGGGGTCAGTGGGGAACACCGGAAACCCCCTGATCAAGGCGCTGTGGCTGGTGCTGGCGTGCAAAGCAGAACTCACAGAGGTACAGTACGTTTGAAATCTCAGCTCAAGTCGAACTCATGGAAGAAATCGGGGAATACCTATCTTTCCGTCATTTATTGAGATCTGGCAAAATATTTTTACTGTGAAAACGTATTTTTTCCCCAGGAAACAAACTTGGGCGCAATCCCACCAGCACTACAGGAAGCATCAGGGCCTTCGCCATCCCATCGAGCTCCCCGAGCACCTCAAGCACCTCAAGCAAGCTCCACACCCATGAGTCGTCCACAACTTCCACCGGCGGAGGCCTATCAACCGCGTCAAACTGAACCATCGACGTCTCGTCAACATCCCCGGGAGTTAGACGTGACCGATTGCGGCGACGTAAACGTAGCCGAGATCTTAGCCCAGGCGTCTGGGGTGAGTCATTTGAGTATTGTGTGCCATTTGTTTCCACTTATAAGTCTCTGTTGGATGGGGGAGATGAAGCGTTTTCTCTCGGCATCGCGGCCCTCGCGACTGCGATCGGGAAAACTCGGTGCCCACCATATTTCAGTGGGCGAATTATGTGTAGCATCGGAATGCCAGCAGAATCAGTGTGATCAGCTTTTTCCATTCATAAACGGCTCATTCGGTTCAATAAAGACAACCTCGAAAAAAAAAATCCACGTCCATGCCATGACAAATGCGCACGCCAGCACTCCAGCCATGCCGAACTCGAAAAAAAAATCTAAATCAAGAATCTATCTTGAAAGCAGATGATACAAATTTAAGAATATGTCTGTTTTCAAATTTTCTCCCGGATTTAGCTGTCAGTTGTTTCTAGTTGCTTGTTATTTGCAATTTCACCGTACACGCGGCGTTGTTGAAGAGCGCGGGCACAGGGGCCGGCGTCGGATACTATTGTTGTGCAAGGGAGGGGGGAGCCTAGGGGGAGCCTAGTATTGTTAAGCAGGGTAAGGGTAGGGGCCTGAAGCGACACTCACTCAGGCACCCGGACACGGTTCCACCAGCGCTAAAGAAATTGTTTTCTGGTCTCCGCTTGATTCTCTTGCCGTTTCGAGAGTAAAAGCTAGCTGACACCTTAAATTTACTTTTATATTCTTTACGTTTAGTCAAATGGTTTTTAAGGTATCATCTGCTAAAAAAACGACTGTTTTCTGCTGCAGGTGCGCCGGCTGGTGGGCGTGTGGTGCCCCAGACGTCCCTGGACGCTGGACCTGCTCATGTCCGCCGCGCCGACGGTGGAGCAGCTGAGCCTCATCAACCCCCGCGAGGCGCACCTGCGCGCGGCTCAC